GCGGGGAGATCCCCGGCAGCGCGGTCGTTGCCGGCGGGATTAACGTGCAGCGTTGCGGCCCGGGGAGGGGAAAGGTGGAAGAGAAAAGGCTCCTTCTTAGGGCTTTGCGCCCTCTTCGAAGCCAGGTGGTGGCCGGGTGCGAGTCTCGGCGGCAGTGGCCGCTCTTGACTGGCTGCAGGTGTGGGTGCGTACTGCACATCGCTCTAAAGCTGCTACAGTCCGCGCGGGCACAAATGTTTAAGTCCTTGTCCTGTGAAGGATGTCATTAACTGCGGAGAAAAGGCAGTACCTCAGGTAATTCTCCGGACATGTTTCACTTGGCATAGTAACAACCGAGCCAAAAAAAAAATAACACAAAAGCTCATGTTTTGCCAGTTGTTCAAGCCTTGAAGTATCATTAGATGTGATTCAAGATTTCAGCATTGGTCTTTTCCGCAGAGCCTTATCTCCCAGTTTTAAGCGTATCTCAAAGCTGCAAAATGCTGTTTACTGTCTGCTATTTTTCCAGCAGAAAAAGGTTGTATAAGCATCTGAAAAGGCAGTCAGAGGATGTATATCAAGTCTCTATCGTGGTACATGGCACAACTTCAGCAGGTCGTAATAGCGGTTAAATTTGTTTCAAGTATTAGGATTTTCATTGTGACCATGAGGGGTATAAACTTGCTGTTTTGTTTCTTCCTCTTGTTCTCTTATGAAATTGAAATAGAAACAGGTGCTTGCATTGATCGTATTTGGGAAGATTCCATGAGCAATCAAACAAGTCAGCTAGGATTTTAATTTAATGAGCATATATTTGTAGCCATCCTCCTCCTTAACTAAGTTTCTATCCATAAGAGGATGTACCTTGCAATTTAAATTTTTGCGCCACTTGTAATCTGACTGTTATTACAATGAGTAGTAGAAGGTGTTTTGTCTGATGAGAATAATACTAATATTGCCTCATTTTACTGAATGCTTTTTTTTGTTAGCTGGACACTTTGATTTCCATGGAAAAGCCTGCTCACTTTCACATTTCATCTAAATCCTGGGTAGTATGCTAGACTTCTGTAATGGAACACTTTATCCAGAATTGGTGTCAGAGTAGGTAGGTCTCAGGTTAAGAGAAATGAGAAGTAGAAGATCAAATATAACATTTCTCAATGTTATCCATGTCATCTGTGACCTTGCAGTAACTTAATTCTAGCTCTTCTGCTTCTGAACAACGGAGTTACTCTTCCTGAGAATTCCAAGCTGAAAAATACACTAATTCATGTGAAGTTTGTGTATGTGTTAGTAAGTCTTGGTAAACTACAAGCTGCAGAACTGTTGGAATTACTTCAGCACTGCGATTTGTAAGGTTAAACTTAAGAAATGAAAGCATGTTTCAGTTACGTATCAAAACAATTAGTGGCATGTAAATGACCTTGATTTTGCTCCCTTTTGAAAGAGTCAATATGTTGAGAAGGGGGGGAAAGGAGGGAAAAAGTGAAAACCTGTTATCCCATATGAAACTTACAGGACGTATTTCACTTAGTAACTGTATGCTTCCACTGTGGGGCAGAGGTAAGGTTTCTGAAATGAAGACCAACAAAGCCACTTACATTTTAGGGTGGAGGTTTTTTTGTATATTTCAGAATTCATTTGTGTATAAGACAGCTCTGAGTTGTAACCTAAAGAGTCATGACTTGGCATGCTCAGTGAGCCTGTTGGGTGGGTGTTTCCATTCCTTTAGATGCTCTGATTTAATTTCACTTACATGTACCTAAATCTTCCTAGGTTTAGAACGCTTTGGGTTTTGAATAGTTACGCTGTCCCTGTAATGTGTTTGCCATAGCAGATAACATACATGTCTTGCAAAGACGTCTCTAAACCACTCTTTATTTTACAAGATGAACGTCAGTGTTTTATGAAAAATACAAAATGTTTCTATGCACTTAAGTTTCCTACTAATCGTGATAGCTCTTTGGGATCTGTTCTGTATCCTTTTAGGACTCGAGATACTCTCCCAACTTGATTCCTCTAACAAAGGCTTTTATTTTATTCTGGTCAGGACAGAAATCTGCTCTGAGCAGACTTGGTTCCGTTACATCTTTGTATTCCTTCTGACATGAATTTCTTTGCCAGCTTTAAGTCACCTATGAGATCAAGATTACTCATCATATGCTTTGTCATTCGGTTACTGTTACCTGAAGTCCTTTGGATATAATAGATACCTGAGAACATATTTTCTTGATATTATTCTTTGAATGTTTTAATTTAAAAAACAAGAGGCCCAAAGTCAGTGTTATGTAACTCCATATCACTAAAAAGCTAGCAGTTGTATTCTAAATTTTCTCTGATTCCAGATTTGCAAGTCTGATATGCTGTGGACTTTTGTCACTTTGCTCTCAGTTTAAGTGCCCTCTTATGGCTATCTCAAAAGAATTGCACTCTAATAAGAAGAAAATGCTGGTTTCCTGATTTTTTTTTTTTTTTTGTATTATTCCTGTGGCCACACTGCACTTCAATGTAATAAACTATTACAGTGTACAACTTGGAACAGATCATGTATTTGTTGTGTGCTGATGAGGAATATTCAAACTTCACTTTGGAAATGTGTGTTCAAGCTTAAGTAGTAAATGTCCACTGGTACCCTTAAAGTTGTGGCATTTTAAATATTTGACAATGCAGACATATTATGACAAGGTGCTATTTCTGTGATTTCAACTGTATTTTCCTAAAGGGCACAGTTCATTGTTATGCTGTATTTATCATGCTATGGAAAGGCCCTCTCTATTTTGTGTTGCATATTTCTAGCCTACAACTGGAATATGTAGTCATAATACGTACATGGTTAACAAGAAAGTGACATTTTATTGGAGAGATTGATCTGTATTTTTGGGCATGCGACTTATAAGAGCTTATTTTCAAGTTCTTTGATTTACTGTCCTAGCGATCTCTAAGCCGAGGTTATGGGGAGTCATTTTATCATGTTTATTTATTTGATAATACATTCTTAAAAATGGCCATTAACAGGTACTCTAAGGAATTATTGATAAAACTCTGAGAATTCCAACTATGGCATAACCTGACAGTAGGAAAATTTAGTCTGAGTCAGTCAGGTTTATGGCATGATAAAATGTGAAACAGTAGAGGTTTGGTCCTGTCAGTAAAGCACTAGACATTGTTGGCTATCAATGTAAGTGCCCAGTTATATCTGGAAACTTACTGAATCTGCCCTCAGATTTTGTGTTGGTCAGCAAGTTCCATTACATTAACTATTACATTAAATATCTCTTTCTGATAATCTCTGTAGTCTCACTGTTGGAATATATATGCCAAATAACTTTATATCAAAAGAGATGGTCAATGGTAGGATTCCAGGCCCCATAGGCTTTATTTTTTTCAATTCAGGCCTTCACTCCTAGCCATAACAGCTGCTGCTAGAAAAATCTAGGCTAGTGAAGGAGGTAAAGATAGGGACTGTATGTGCCTAGGTGATTAGGGGAGGAAATCTTATTTCTCAGCAGTGCCACCAATACCTGTGACTAAGTTCTGAGCTTTTTTTTTTTATTGGTATGAACTCAAGTTATTGGACAGGATATCTCTTTTTGCCTCCATACTGCGCAAAGGACTTCTCATTTGCTTAGAGAGAAGTCTAGTTAGCATTGCACTTAACCCTTCAGACTCTCTGGTATGGCATTCAAGTCCTCACCTGTAGCTGTTGCTACATATCATGTCTGAGACATACCAAAAGACTGTTTACTGTTGATGCTGCCCTGGTCAAGTAGAAGATGGATGAGGTCTTGCTTTTGGTTAGAGATTTTCATGCATCACTGACTTTCCAGGCTCCCAGTGGGAGGCCTACTTTTAGATGTTATTTGCTCTCCTAGATGTTATTTGCTCTCCTGAGCATGTCAGGAGTCTTTGGCACTACTTTTGTCCTCCAAGAGCAAAGCAGTCATTGTAATAATATTGTACCATCTGTTGCTGTTCTCAGAGCTGTTCTTCCTGAGAGCATCTTTCGATGGAAACATAGACCTCTTCCTCTCATTTAGCTGCTTTCTCTCCCTCCTACTTTTGTCTTCCCTCTTTGATGGGTAAGCCTTTCCTGGCCTTTGCCCTTGATCTGGTGCGATGGCTGTATTGCTATTGCTAAATTGTACACTTTGATGCTCTACAGTCCCCATCTCTGTCCAGTTCTACAGGAGTCTGCTTTATTGGCAAATGAATTTTCTTTTGGCCTTGCACAATGTAGAACTGTATCTTCCAGTCACAACGGTTGGCATTTTTTTTTATCCACAATACTTTTCTTTCCTCTTTGGTGCTAGTGTTTGGCCATTTACTCTGGACTCAAAGTTGGACTTGATGTAATGAAGTTCAGGGTAGTGACTCTAGCAGACAGCATTCAGGTCATACAGAGAGAAGATTGGTATGAGTCCCGCAGTCCTAAGGATGCCTACTTCTACATTTCAGTGAGTGTTGCGCAGAAAAGATCCCTGCTGAATGTTTGGTCAGAACCATTGCAAGTATAAGACTTTCTAATTTAAGGAATCTAAACCAACACATTGGCAGTCTTAGCAGCTCATTTAGAAGCGTACCTATTTCTTTACCTGAGTTAATAGCTGAAGAAAAGCCATAGGATAGATCCCTCTAGGGTGCTGTTTCTCTAGCTGACTTTACAATTTGTGACCAAAATCAAGATGTATGGTATTTACTGCTGCTTTGTCTCTTGTGACAACCTGATGGGTGTTAGACTAGTCTGGCATGTTTTGCTCACAAGAAATCCATATTTACTGTTGGTTTTTTTGCTCTAGTTGCCTTCCTAGGAATTACAGAGATGTTTTGTTTTGTTCATTGAGAGTTGATGCTAGGTGAACTAGCTCCCAGACTGCTCCTCCTTCCCTTTCTTTTGAAGGCAGGAATGACATGTGTCCTTTTCTGGGTCTTCTGATACTTTGCTAGGCCTCTGTGAACCTCAGAGATTCTGGCTAGTGTTCTCAGTACTTTTTAAGAAGAGATCTTCAGACTGGTTGCATATGATGAAATTTGATTCATTTTACGATCGTGTATTGTTCTTCTTGTTTTCAGGCCACCTGATCACACCATTTTTACTATGCTAGTTGTGTTAATGACTAGGCAAATTTGATATTTTCAAATGAAGGTTACTGCAAAAATGCCATTAAAGATAAAATGTGAAGGATTTTTTTTTGAGGGATCCATTAAATCTGCATCTGGGAAAAGCATGTTAATCTTGAAAATCATTAGCTATAGTTATTGTATGGATTGTGGATAAAGGAGGTAGCTGAAATCGCCAGGCCCTAATCCTTAAGGAT